AATCATTCTTGAGGAGTTCCAATCTCATGACCCCCCAAAGGCCCCACCTCCAAATACTAGCCCACTGGCAATTAGATTTCAACGTATGAACTGGGGAAGGGGGCACAAATATTCAGTCCATAACAATGTGGTTATAAATATTGTGACGAAAGATAATCTGTCAGTAAGAGGAGTTTGTGACTATAGAACATCATTCTAAATACTTCTAGACATGAAAATCAACCAACTGGTAAAACAAACCAAAGTCCTCTGCGGGAAACACTATCCTTAAGGACCTCCAGGAAGTCATTTTCTAAACTTTCTTGAAAACTCAAGTAAGAGTTTATTATAAATAATAGAATCTGACAGCGCTGGGAGGCAGTTTGTAAATTCCATTCTATGATGAAATCATGCAGCTGGAAACTTGAGGAATAGACTAAATAAAATGACCTTAGAGGTGACTTCAAAACAGCAACCCTCACTTTATTTCTGGATCCTAAGTTTCCTACTTCGTATATAATTTCAGGACATTTAAACTGCCAATTGCAAGAAGAGATAGATAAAAATACTCAGGAATTTAAGACACAACTATAGAAAACATATATCAAAATATGTATGTTGACACACACACACATATATATACACACACATACATATACACGCATAAATAGTAAAAATACATAAATATATAATACATAAGAACTTTTTTAAACCCTTTACAATTTTGTCTCATTTTTTTAAAGTATTTGGATATGTGTGTATGTGTGTGTATATGAATCAGTGGGAGACATACTGATTTATATAAAATCATGGACAAAAGTAGCTTATTGATGTAGAAAACCAGCAGAAAATACAGGAACACATCTAATTATAAAAGATGGGAACTATAAATGGAAAAAATTGCATAAAGACATTGAAGCTGAGTCAAGTCAAGGGAAGTCTCCAAGCTCTTCTTTTAAGAATAACTGTTAAACAGATTTCATTGAAATTATACTTCACAACATGTTAATTCCCTGTCCCTAAGGGATTCCATTTTGCATAGAACCTAAATAAACTGCCTGAAGAAATTTTGCTGAGATTGGATTTAATTACCGACCTAATTCTTCAGTAATGGAAATTCAGCCAAACAACTGGGAGAAACTGCTGACTGAATAGAGACCTGAATGACCTAGCTAACTGGAAGGGAACAACATTTTTGATTAATTGAAAGGACAAACACTTCATCTTAAAATATCTAAAGGTGAGACGTGTCGCACTAAATAAATCTACAACACTGTTTGATAGCACTTTCCCAATAACCCTGTGGAGTACCTTTTCATATGGTAATATATTAAATAGCAAGAAGCATAATTTTGCAGGCACCTTTCTACACCCAAAGTAAAATTTAGCATTTTTTAGAGGCTCCTGAATAGGCATTTCTACTACCCATAAAAACAATCTCTTACATTTTCAGGGTTATTTTTACCGCAAAGGTCACCAATTGTAATTGGTTGCATACTTTTGTATGGCACACTTTTGTTTGAAGTTGGTAAGAGGCTGTTAAGTGAAAAATCATTTTGGGAGAATCTAAGTGGAGTTGTAAATGTCTTTACAAGATAAACTGCCTCCATAACAATGAACTGCAATGATTCTACATGTTATTTCAAACATGGAAATGTCACAATTCTTCCCTTTGCAAAGCTATCCCGAAATCAGCAACAATTAGTATGGTTGTTAAAAAAAAAGGTGACTTTACTGATATTAAGAATTCAATGCCACACTTGGGGCGCCTGGGTGGCGCAGTCGGTTAAGTGTCCGACTTCAGCCAGGTCACGATCTCATGGTCTGTGAGTTCGAGCCCCGCGTCAGGCTCTGGGCTGATGGCTCAGAGCCTGGAGCCTGTTTCTGATTCTGTGTCTCCCTCTCTCTCTGCCCCTCCCCTGTTCATGCTCTGTCTCTCTCTGTCTCAAAAATAAATAAACGTTGAAAAAAAAAAAAAAAGAATTCAATGCCACACTAGAATCAAGTTTATTATCACTGTTCTAATACATCTTGAAATTAACATGGAGCCTTTAAATGGTGTGTTTTGTTTGTATGTTAATACGTTTTTAAGTATTGTATGATCTGTTCAAATATGTTTCTTAAGTAATAGGAGGGGAAAAACAGGTTTGGCTACTTTAAGAAATCATTGTAGGACTTGTTTATGAAAATGAAATATCACTAACTAGGGGAAAGTTATTTAAAGGGACATAACATGATTGTTGCCAAAGTAACCCCCCTTGATTGGAGGAAAATCATGACAGGGAATCATGCTGTAGACAGAAACGTAACACATCTCATTTTCTTTCTTCTCTCCTTGTTTTAGGCTAAAGGGCAAGAACAAGGAGTTTCTCTATCCTCAGAGCTGCCTGGAACACATATGGAGTCTAGAGTCACATAAAGAAGCCAAGGGATAACCAGAAACACATTCAGAGATGAGCAACCAGAAGGACATGAGACTGGACACCAAGTCACAGGATGTCTAGTTTGGAGAGGGGGCAAGTAGGGAAAAATACAATAACTAATTTAAATATTTGGAGCTCTTTCTTTAAAATTCATTTTACTTAAACTAAAACCAAAAACAGTTCACCTGTTTCCATCCCCCATCCCTCCCACCCTCTGCTTCTAGGAACCACCAACCTGTTCTCTGTATCTATGAGCTTGGTTTGGTTTTTAAAAATGTTTTTTTAGATTACACATATAAGAGAAATCATACGGCATTTGTCTTTCTCTGTCTGACTTATTTCACTTAGCCTAATTCCTTCAAGGTCCATCCATGTTGTCACAAAATGGCAAGATTTCAATTATTTATGGCTGAATAATATTCCATGGTATCTATATACCACAATTTCTTGCTCTATAATGTAGAAAGTGTCTTTTTTTTCTTTTTTTTTTTTTTAATTTTTTTTTTTCAACATTTATTTATTTTTGGGACAGAGAGAGACAGAGCATGAACGGGGGAGGGGCAGAGAGAGAGGGAGACACAGAATCGGAAACAGGCTCCAGGCTCTGAGCCATCAGCCCAGAGCCCGACGCGGGGCTGGAACTCACGGACCGTGAGATCGTGACCTGAGCTGAAGTCGGACGCTTAACCAACTGCGCCACCCAGGCGCCCCTAGAATGTGTCTTTAAATGTGTTTGTGCAGGGACAGAAAGCAACATTTACCCACATCTGGGCAAGCATCTGAAGGTAGCACCCTGCCCCAACTGCAGGCAATGGACTTCTGGCCTTCTCCTGCATATTATTGTTCCCTTGATTTTCTTGTGGGGGACTTTGCTCCCTCAGGTTTCTCCCCTGGTCTTTTCCCCTTTTTTAAAAATACAAGTAACACACTTAGACAGAAGTAAGTCTTATTTGGTCATCATTATATAAAGGATGCTATTTGCTTGGTCTATAGGAATCTTTATTATTTATTTCAAACTGTAAATATATACATCTATGTGTGTGTATGTATATATATGTTTATGATTTAATTCATGTTCCTTCGAGGGAAAACTTAGAATATGTAGAAAATAGAAATTATCCATAGTCCTGCTACTCAATCACTACTAAAATTATGCTCCTTTTCCTCATGACTTTTCTGAGTATTTTTAAATTTTTTTTAATGTTTATTTATTTTTAAGAGAGAGAGACAACATGTGAGCAGAGGAGGGACAGAGAGAGAGGGAGACACAGAATTTGAAGCAGGCTTCAGGCTCTAAGCTGTCAGCACAGAGCCCAGCATGGAGCTTGAACCCATGAACTATGAGATCATGACCTGACCCAAAGTTAGATGCTCAAATAACTGAGCCACCCAGGTGTCCCTTTTCTGAGTATTTTTGTAAAGTTCTAATCTTTGTACATAGTCACTTTTATAAGCAGTTCTCCTCACTCATTAAAACAAAGATTTTTATGTCTTAAAAATACTTTAAAATCTTTAATGATTTTATAGCTTTATATTATAATATTATTTAACTATTTTATCATTTTGGGGCATTGAGAGTGATTATCAACTGTCCCTGTTGTCAATATGTTGGGTTAATCTGTTATTAACCCATCTGGAGTTTTTTGTTTGTTTTTGATTTTTTTTTTTCCCTGAAAATTCTCACTTTGCTCCATGACCTCTCTTTTGGTCATTTAGGCTTTGCCTCAGGGAAAGGACAAGAGGGCAAATGAAAAGAGTCCACACTCAGCTCCCAAGATTTAAGGTAGACTTCTGAAACTTGCAGCAAAGATGAACAAAAAGTTACCTTTGAGCCTTAAAAGCCTGACTTTTGAGTGTCAAATAAAATCATGATGTTTGTGGTATTTATACCATATACAATAAATTTGAAAGCATGTGAGATTAGCCAAAACAGTTTAGAAGGGATAAAAACATACAAGAGAGAAGTCTGAGACATGAGGGTAGAGCCATGGAGTTAGATGGTGTGGGTCTCTGAAAAGAGATCCTGCCCTCTGACCATCATCACCAGAGCCAAAACTCTTGGGAGAGGGTGAGGGCAACGAACTCCAGATAGGTTTGGGGCTTTGAGTGAAGAGGAGACCAGTGCCCCACTTCCTGACTAGAGACTAGGCAAGAGGCAAGTCTTATAGAGGGCTCTACCTCAGCAAGATGACAGTGGGTAGAGATGATGCCATGGGGGGGGGGGCATCTATAGGGAGACACCTAAGAAAGCTCCACAGAGTTTCCTTTGGCCACATTATAGAATAGAAGAAGAGCTTAATTTTGACTGTGCCCCACTGAGGCATGGAGTCATTAAAAGAGAGCTCACACTCTCATTAAAAGACATCTTAATGACATCTTATTAATGTCTTAAGAGACATCTGTCTTTTTTTTTTTCACTGTTATAATAACTTTAATTTATCTTGCATTTTACATAAGTCTATGAACGATTTTAAAAAAGCACCGCCTTACCCCATCATGTTTTTCTGACAGTTGTTAAAGTAGGCAATGAGTAGGTCAACAGCTTGAGCATCGGCATCTTGCAAAGATTTCAGACCAACCAGCCACAAGCCAAAAAACTTGGCAACTTTTCTATCTTGTATTTAATACAATGATATATCCACTTTAATGGTAAACCTGTCCAGCCAAATCTCCACAACACACTTTGAAAATCAGTGGTGGTTAGCCAATTAGTTAGCTTTGGCATGGAGCTGTGCTCGCTTGCCTGTGACAGCCTGAAAGCCGGTCTTGATGCTGGCAACAGAGCATCGAGAATGACAAGTTTCGCACTGTAAGAAATAGAGTCGGGTGTCCTTTTGCAGGATTGTGTCCGGTGATCGGCATGTGTGACAGGTAACGTATTCCTTATATATCTTCTCAAAACATTTTCTATCTGTTTCTGTTGGAATCTTCCTTTGATTACAAGTTGATTATTACCATCTATAGAACCACTTGTACCCAATTCAGCCAATAAAAATGCAAGGAGATGTTTGGGCTGACGATGTAATAGTTTACAGATATCTGTAAAGTTGACAGAAGAGGTTTTCTTTGTTCCTACTCGGACAACCTGTGGAGGTTTCATGACAAATTTCCTTTTCTCTCCAGCAACCATATCTGGATTCTTTTCTCTCATGATGTTGAATACTCGATTCAACAGCTCCTCATATGTGTAGTCTCTTTCTGAGCCTGCCCAAGCAGGGCCTGTCTGGTTACTGAAGGAGATACCATCATCTTTTTTGCTGTCTTCATCTTCTAAAGCTTCATCTTTCTCTAGTATTTCATCCTCATCTGGGAACTTAACATTCTTCTTTTTCTTCTTTTTATTGCCAAGCATAATGTCAAGGTCATCCTCTGGTTCAGCTGCTTCTTGGATATCACTTTCAATCTTAAGATCCTTTACACCTTCTTCAGCTTCATCAATATCAAATATCTTTTTTGTTTTTTTCTTCTTTTTCTTCTGATTAAAGAAGTTCAAGTCATCTAAATCATCAGAAGCATCTTTTTTCCTACTGCCCTCTTCATCGGCTTCTACATCTCTGTCCTCAGTGGGCTCTGGTTCTACTTCTTTTGTTTCTGAGGGCTGGGTTTCTTCTGTCTGGGCATCCCCTTCCTCATCTAACATAAAAGGCTTCTTCTTCTTCTTTTTCTTCTTGCTCATAGTAGGATCAAAAATCATCTCATCCCCGGACATGGCGGCAGCTCGAGTGGGCTCGGCACAGACGGGAAGTCAGACGGGTCAGCCCCAGGCCCCAGCGGCAGCGTTGCTCCTGCCGACACTTCTCCCACCACCGCACTAGGCTCTTGCATCAGCGAAAGAGAGACATCTGTCTTAATGTTGGGATTAATGACTGAAAGGTGTGCCAGTGGAGTACAGCAACTAGACCAATGAGAACCCAGATGCCTCGGCAGATGCTGCAGTGGAAAAGTCACGGAGCCCAAGGATCAGTTAGAATAGTGTACGTCACCAGATGCCAACTTGGGTAGAGAATATCCCAGGTGCACCCTCTTCTTCATGCATTGATGTAATGTAACTTCTTCACAATTGAGATGTAATCTCAGAAGGGGGAATCCTGAATTTACTGAGAAAACCATAATTTAACTCAGTCTATCCTGAATTGCCTAAGATTAACTATCCAAGTAGAATAAGGAGCTCAACAACGTTAATTTTAGTTGGATAAAAATTATTACATTTTTGCATACCCAAATCTTACACCACACTTCACCACTCGCTGATTTGCAGCAATAAGAACTTGAATGCCTTTGTATCTGGTTTTAGTCATTTACCTTTATACTTTTTATTCCTTCAATGAAATTTTTGAACACCTATTTTCTAGGCACTATACTAGCCACTAAGGTTAGAGCATGGAACAAAACAGATATAGCTCCTCTCTGTTTTCATTGACTTCCAGTTAGGAAGATTAACAATGGAGACGTTATTACAACAAAGTAATGTGGCCCTTTTGACAAAGGAGGGGTACTAACCTGGTCTTCTTTAGACAAAACATGAGAGACACAAAACCCCAAAGAATTAACAGACATAAGTCAGAGAATAGTATCCTAGTATCCTTTGGAAGAAAACAGCTTATCCAAAATGTCAGGGATCAGAGAGAGAAGGATGATATGGCCATACATTACAACCATGCACTTAGCATTTGAGAATGTATGTTGTGTGTCTTATAAATGGATTTTCAAGCACCATGTTGCTACAGTTTAAATAAAAAGGTAGGACTAAGGGCTAGAATTAGAAAAATACATTCTGTGAAAAATACACCCTCTGTATTTGATAACTTATCACTTTTATTTCCACTTAAATCAGTAAATAGATACTTCATTTTTCCATGACTGGAACAGAGACAGATAATTGCCTACCTCAATATTAATCTTCTACTTTTTCTCTGATTGTAAAAAAGGATTTTACTCAGTACAGTCATATCCTCAGCTTTTCTCCAATTTCAGATGTGACCAGGGAAATAAATTCTGGTCATCTAGAAATAAGTAAAAGCATAGGAGGTACCTTCAGGAAATCTTCTTAAGTTCCCTTCACTCTGCTGCCATCCTAGAGTGCAAGCATGATATATGGATCTCCAGCTGTCATCTTGAAACATGAGGACAACACTTGTACTGCAGGATTTGTGGAGTGAAGAGTGAGAAGGACCTTGGTTACCAATGGTTTTGTAAAAGCCACCAGACTAGCTTCAAAATTGCTTTTACATGTGAGAAATAAACTTCTCTCATATTTGATCTATGTTCTTATTTATCAGGGATATCATATAGGTAGCCAAGCCTAATCCTACCTAATACAGTGTGGTAAGGAGCTGATTTAGGATAGCTGAGAAATATTCTAAATCTGTGGCAAAGGTCCAAAACAAAAATCAGAAAACTCTAAGGCTTAAAAGAAATGTAGAAGTCGTTATATCCAACCATTTCGTTTAACCTGATCATTATCACTCTCAGGGTTCAGGCTGTTCATCCTCCTCATTAATAAGATGTCTTAAGTCTAATAAGCTTCTTGAACAGTATGATCTGGTTCCTTCTACTACCATCCTTATTTCCTAACATTGAAATTATGCTTTAAAAAAAATGAAGGAAGGAAGGAAGGAAGGGAGTGGGAGAGAGGGAAAGGGGGTGGAAGAGGGAGAGAGGGAAGGAGGAAAGGAGGGAAAGAAAAAAAGGAAGGAAGGAAGGAAGGAAGGAAGGAAGGAAGGAAGGAAGGAAGGAAGGAAGAAAAAGTTGTATGCTCAGGAATTATCAACTATTTCTAGTATCCTGGTATAACATGCATCTCTCCATCAAAAATATGCTTCCCCTGCTTAGTCATTTTGCTCAAAAATTTCCTTCTCCGTGACAGCTGCCTACCTCCAAATTACCAGGCAGGCTGATCACTTCCTCCTTTGTGTTATCTTTTTGGTGTATGTGTTTTTCTAATATTATATATAAACATGTAAATAGTCACTATCTAATGAGACATTGTTTATTTCTGTATTCCCAGGGTCCAGCACAATAACATATAGTAGGTGCTGAATTTGTTGAATTGACTTTTATTTCAAATTAGAAAAATTAAGAACTCTGAAAAACTAATCAAACTAGGTTGTAACAGAGCAAAGAGACCCAAGGGTTATATCAGGGGCCAAAACAAAAAAGATGAAGCCAAAACATCACTTTTATATATAATAGAGATCAAGTTGGAGGGCTTGGCCTGTATATTGACACCCATTAACACTGAACTCCACAATTGGGCAGACCTACTGGACTAGCAAGGAAGCACTGGAACGGGGCTAGGCTTCCATGTGTCCTAATAGAGGGAAACACGTGTTTACTTCTGGGGCAAGGAAAATGGGAGCTGAGCTGAGCATGCCCTACTAACTGAACTCAGAGGCTAAAAATCTCTCAGAGACAGAGCAATTAACAGGGAAGAAGGGAGCCCAGAGTTATAAGAACTTGAGCTCCTCTCATAAGAACAAAGCCTCAGGAGTGGGGAAGAGATGAACCCCATCAACATCCCCCAGCCTTTCATTCTCTTAACTCATTGAGCATGAAGCTTAACTTCGTTAAGCATGAAGCCTTTGGTCACAAGAGTTGTGGCTCTCTCCCTCAGTAGAACTTTACCCCTGACCCTCATGAGACCACACTCTACACCAATTTCTGCTCTTCTGGGTTTCCTCCTGGGTCCAATGGCAAAGCTTAAGCTTTTAAATGTTTAAATATTTAAATGTTGTCCCCAGAAGAATCTGCAATGGGTCAAAACAACACATTCATTGTATCAGCTGTGAGTCCACTCCACGCCAAAAGCAGAAAATGTATTTCCTATTCTATTTTCTGTCCAAAATTCTGTCTAGGCATGCTGTCCAATGTAGCATGACAGAGGTTCTGCAGAGATTGAATGCTATCTTAAAGATACTTCAATAATAAAATGACTTTAAAGAGATGTTTCATATTTGAACACAATTTCCCTTCTATTATTAAATTCCAAGAAAGAAATTAAAGCCCGAAGATTGCATTCGTTTACAAGTTGAAGACATTAAAATCCGAAAGAACTAAAGCCTGAAATCAAATTCTCTTGTCCTGTGTGTTGAAGTTCAAAGTGTAAAGTTCAATGGGGCTTCTTCAGCAACTGTAGCAATCTTTCCCTGGAATGGGTTTGGAGCTTCAAAAGCCTCAGAAGTCATAGTAATACAATGCCTAATTTCTCAGAAGCCTCACTTCCACAATTCCAGAGCTAACAGGTCACACAGAATTATCCCAGGCCTTTTCCAGATCTACCTAATATAGAAAGCCATTCTCCTGCCATTAAGTCAATTAGTGCAGGCCAAATTACATTCCCAGCACGAGGGCTGCCGAGACCCCAAGAGTAATCCCATGGTATCTGAGATGAAAGGAAAATATTCTTGACCTCAATATTAGCAGGAAGTCTGTCATTCAAGACCAACTGTCTGGATTCCATGACCTGTTTACTTAAGCCAAACTAAGAAAATTCTCCCAACAAGTTATTTGAGCCTACACATTTAGCATTTTCATTTACACTTCTTTACATTTACATTTTTGTGGACAAAATAAACCCATCTCTGATTCCTACATCCTCACATAAAGTGTCATGTGAGGCATTTCTGTCCCCTTCAAATAATTGCAGTGGGGCTTCGGGTGATTTCTTCCACATCCAGCATACCCAGTACTTCTTAAATTTTTTTTTTTTTAACATTTATTTATTTTTGAGACAGAGAGAGACAGAGCATGAACGGGGGAGGGTCAGAGAGAGGGAGACACAGACTCTGAAACAGGCTCCAGGCTCTGAGCTGTCAGCACAGAGCCCGATGCGGGGCTCGAACTCACGGACCGTGAGATCATGACCTGAGCCAAAGTCGGCCGCTTAACCGACTGAGCCACCCAGGCGCCCCTACCCAGTACTTCTTAATCCCTTTCCCATGGAGTCTTGGGCCCCTAACACCACCCTGAGAACAGGTTCTGTCTGGTGACACAACTGCACCACTTCCTGGGAACAGGTATTTTCTGTCCTGTGCCACAGTGGTTGTCTCACTGCCTCTAGCTTGGGGGTTGCTTGCACTGTGACACCTGCCCCCTTGGGAAGAGGTCTTAATTCCCCCATTTGTTTTAGCTGAGGAATCAGATTCCTGCACGAAGAGATGTTGATGCTTCTCAAGCTTGTGCCCTGAGGAAAAGCCGTTTCAAATGTCTTGGGGTCTGAATAGCTTTTTTTATTTTTTATTTTCCTGCTATGTCTTTTTCTGAAATACTGGACATACCACTGGTATTTAATTTCCCTCTGCTATTTCCTGACAGCTTTCAGGAAGGCTATTTGAGTTTGTTAACAATTTAATCTAGTTCTTAAAATGGCCTCTTTCCTTCTCTAATCCCAAGAGCTAATGCTGCTTTCTGGAACTGAGTGCCTCCCTTCTGTTTACTTTATCTTTACTTTCTGGCCCAGATGGTTATTTTTATAACAACTCTGCATTATTAATAATAAAAGAGAAGAAGTCAACAAGTTCTGGGTTTATTGTCCAAATATTTTCTACTTTATTCTCAAGGAGATGGATAATCCCCACCTCCCTGGAGATATTCTTCCATCAGACATGTAGCTAAAGCTTGAACTTGTTCTTTGTCACTGGATTTCTTCACATCTCTTCTCTACTTCCCTTTAGGATCCTCACTTCATAAATTTATCAGCTAGATTCATTAAAAGTTCCTTCCCCAAAGTATTATTTCAGTGAGCTTCTATGTGACAGAATCATAGTATACAACGAAATAGGCAATGCCATTTCCCTGAGCAATATATGAAATTATTGAATCATTACGTTGTT